TGACAAGTCCTTACACTTGAATCTTTCCTTAAAGGAGATAGCACAATGAAAAAGGCAAGGAATCATCAAAAATGTAGCTGAGACAGACTCAAACTGTGAGTCACCTCACTTATGCACCCTTCCTATCATAAATAATGCACAGATCCCAGTCTCATTTACATTGGCAGCCATGGCTGGCATCTATGTAGAGCGCACAGGCTGCAGGACGACATCTGTACCCGTGCATGTCCTGAGACATTTTCTGTATCACAGTCCAGTCCTTTCCTGGAGGCAACTATAGACAGCACAAGCAACCTGCACTTACTCAAAAATTTACAATACTTGAAGTACAACGACATGATGATTGGTCTGTACCTGTTTCTAGGGCAGGGAGGAAAAAGAAAGATGGCTATCGACCTGGCCTAAAAATTTGCATGTGTATAAGCTCGTGAAGAAAGTTAGTGTGTCAAAGGAGCTAGAGGATTCAATATCCCTTTGTTCAGCGTAAATGTCCCTTTGTTTACTGAGAATCAAGGCAGGGAAATCAATTGCTCATGAACCCAAACTTGGCTGATAGAAGATACCTTTTGCCAGTGAAGAATTTCCCTTGGGGTTGATAAAGCAGAAGCGAATGGGATTTTGTACGCTCTTTGCAAATAACTGCATCTCCAAGCTACCTTTTCCCACCACTTTTTTCTTAACAAACAACCCATAATGATCAGTGAGGAACAGCTTGCTGGTAGCGTCACCTCTCTTTGTCTTCCATAAATGGCCCTGCTAAAATGTATCTTATAAGTGGGCTTGGCATTCCCTTGTCTGCAGACAGAGGAAGATGCAAATAATGCAAAAATCAGCTGCAACAGGTATCTATTAGAAACAGGACCTCAGTTCTCTCCCCGTGCTAACCTGCTAGACTTACATCAACCCAAGGATTTAGGAAAGCTTGAGTAACAGGTGGAGAATACGAGCACCACTTGTAGAAGACAAACTACTAGAACACAACACACGCTGCCCGCTGAAAGAAAAAGCCCTGCTGAGGTAGCTGTACATTTGCTCAGGAGCCTGTGCTTAATTCTAAGGATAATTAGGGCTTGCCCAGAGCCAAAGTGGATATAAATAGCAACTGAAACGCCCTAGTATCTTTCCTCCATCAGTTGGGCCATGAACTGTTTGGCAAAAGGAACTCTTTGTGATACTAACAAGTCGTCTGATCAATCACAGCAGATCAGCACTGACTCATGCAACCTGCAAAGGGGTTTTAAATGCCAGGGAGAGCTGCTCTTTTGTATTCCGGCAGTGCCTCGCTGCTGCTTTATACCACGCCCTCTCAAATGAAGGGTCTGGAATAAATGCAAAGAAAAAGGAAGGGGGAAAAAAAAAGAAAATATGCCAGTTGCTTCGCAGTGTTTAGTGCTCCCCTGGAGCTTAATTATGTGGGAACTGCGGTAGGCAGTCTGTCAGCTAGAAGGTGGCAGAGCCCTGTGGCACGATTTGAAAGGTGCGTTGTGAAATACTGCTCCTTTGCTCTAGACCTACAGACACTGTACGGCATGCTCTGTGTAAACTACAGGTTCCCACAGTCATGTGTGGGTTCCTCATGTTTCTTACCTGCGGTGTTTGCGGCAGTGTGCTCCTGGACTCTGCTTCCAGCATCCCCACGCACACTGTAGTTTGATTCTCCAGCTAGCAGAATGGCACATAAATATTTCCATCTTCACCAAATAAACAAACTCACCCGTGTTAGTTTCCTGCTGCTCTGTAACTCTAAACCATATGCAGGGCTCAGTGAGCAGCACCATAAACTTACAAATTTTCGGTCTCTAAGCCAGGACTATAGCCATAGGAGATGGCGTATTGTCCCCAGGAATTGCAATAATCAACATTTCAGCATAATTCTGAAATGAAGCAGTCCAGAGACCATCTTCCAGAATATATTTTCAAATGTATTGCATAATTTTCCCTGTTTTTATTTTTGAAATCATAAGCTTTGGAATCATTCACTTGTAAGGCTCTCTCTTGTGTTGGTGTCTAGCTGCCATAAAGAAAGAAAATTACAGAAAATTTCCTGTCTCAGTTTATGTTTTCCACTTGCAAACATTCACTTCTCAAAATTAACAAGGAACAGCTTCTTCTTCTACTACTACATGCAGGAGGTGCCTTCATAAACTTGTCACATCCTGATGTTAGTAGCATATGGTATTGAAAATATTCCTACTGCTTAGAGAGAGAGCTGTTACAAATATTTCAAGCAACAGTTTGTTAATTTGGATCCGATCCTACAGTGCACCAATATTTTTCTCGTGCTTTTACACCTAACAGTATAATGAAGATGCCCCATGAAGTTTCACAAAGGATGAGTCACACCATAGATTTTGGGGGCCTTTAAAAGTCTGATTCTTTCTCCTTCCTTTTACAAAGTAGGGATGCACATCCTCATCTTTTTTTTGTGATACCATGAAATAAAGGAAGATCTATGCTGCACATAAGGAAAATCAGCTTGCCTTGCCTTACAGCTCCAGGAACATGGGTTGTGCCTTACAGAACCTAGAGATATTTCTTGCCCTGGCTGCCTTGTAAGTTGAAATATGACAGTACAGAAAACAAGACATGAGAAATTGGAGTTATAAGACCAGAAGGCAGGAATTCTAAGGGATTTAATACGGAACTGGCATCAAAAGATAGAATTGGGCAGAGGAGACCAGGATTAGTCCTCCAAGACACACTGGGCAGCAGGATATGGCAGATGGGGTCAAAGACGGGCAGGACCACATGGAGTTCAATGGTTGTCTGTCACGAGGAAACTATTTCTTATCTGCTCCCTCAAAAGGATGCTGTAAGTGTCTCTGGGCAGTGTAATGCCATCCTGGCTCACTTCTCTCAGACGATGGCTGAAGTGGCACTGGGAAATGGCTTAGCTACTGGTTAGGTGGGGGTCAGTAGAGAAGACAAGTGGGTGGTTTTATGGCATGCTGGTATGGTGGCTTATCGGGGCCTCCTGTAGCCCTCCCATTTTCTAGCTTCACACTGGACCTTTTGCCTACCCTTCCCAGTGCTTGTCTAGCCACAGCTTCTTACTATAATGGCTGACCATTGCCTGGCCTCTGCCTACTTATTTTTGCAATATATCCGGGGAGGGTAATCTTTCATACTTGACAGGAGGGGAGTTCAAGTGCAGAAGAACTCACCTCTAGTTGCACAGGCAATTTTATGGCTAAGCAGGGAGCTGAATGAGGATTTCCATGATTAAAGTGACATCCTATCTTACTGGCTATAACTCTTAATCCATACATCGTTAGCGCTGAAAGCTTCAGGGATTTCAAACTGAACTGTACGCCATTATTTTTCCACAATATGTGCTATTCTACAGCATTCTTGCTTCCCCTCCTTCTCCCTGAAATCAGAAGACTTTTCTCATTGGAGCCAAACCTACAGATATCTACTTAATCCAGTCTGACTGCTAAAGCCTTGTGCAAAACAACACAGGTAAGAAGGAAAAAAGGAGTCCTCAGCTTGCTCTGAAACTTATTTACAACACAGCAGAAGCTAAAGCATACAGTTATGACATGCAAGAAAAAGCAACCCAGGATGTTCTCCCTTGGAAAGCCTGAGGGTGAAAAATGAAGGCAGGGCAGGTGAATTGAGAGATGCATATGTTTAGCACATTTCCTATCTTGCCTTAGTAATGCTGCACTCCGAATGCAACAGCACACACTGCTTCCAGTCTTTAACTATCCAGTCAAATATGACCATTAAGTATATTCAGGAGAAAATACAAATGTGAGAAATACAATATGACATCCTGTAGAAAAGACACACAGGAGAAACAGAGGGCAAACCCAAGGGCAATCAAACAAGAAACATGTTACATAAAACACAGTTGATAGAACACAGAATTCAGAGAGGTGAGAGAACTGCTTCAAGGAAAAACTAAAAGGAAAAAAAAACAATCTCCTTTCCCCTACATGCTGTCAGATTTATGGTTTCTGTTTTTGAAATCTAGGGCAGTCAGAATAACCAAATTTTGATACTTCCTTAGGTCTAGCTAGACCAGATGTAATCTAGCTCTCACATGAAAGATCTGCCACGAAACAACAAATACACAAAGATGATTGTTAACAAAATCCTTTGTAGGGCATGTTGACCTGATAAGTTATTGTGAAAAGAAACAAAGTGATGGAAACACCAATGTAATTTGTATTCAAAGGGAATAGCATGCACAAGGATACCACAGGAACTTGGGATAAGAGTCATACCAATCTTCGTGCATGTACTTTTGTTTCTAAGTCATTCTATTTGGCTTTATTTTTGGCACAAATGGTATTATCTTTTGTCCACAAATTACACTTGAAAAGAATCACATATTTTAGGCTTTGCTTAGATGTACATCTGATTGGGAAATTAACTTTTTATAGTCATGCCATCTATCAGCAGTTTTCAGTTGTGTGGCATTATTACAAGACTTGTGGTGTTTTGGGAACAGGATGTATCCAATGTAGACTCTGACCAAGCAGTGAAAATAGCAGCTTGAAACTTAGTTAAAAGCACACAAACAATTAAGAAAACAATAGACTAGCTAATCTTTCACATTCAGATATCTAAATTTAATCCCTTAAAATAAAGATTGCATCTGGATATATAGATATTATCTTCAGAACACCCTTAACCACAGCTTCCGTGAGTGGTGGGTAGCCTCAGAAAACTCCAAGAGGTTATTGCGTCTCAGCTACAAAGTAAGTAAAAGCTACAGTGACAAAATCAAAACATGGAGATTTCTTCGGGCCTCCTCTCCTATTTTCTCAGCCTCTCAGCGGTATTAATCATGTCAGTTAGGACAAATTTCCTACTTCCATCATATCAAACATTTTGAGTTACGTGAAGAAACTGTAAAGCAGCTAGAGAAAGCTAGATCAATGTGGACACTTGAGATAAAATACAGTGTTTCCTCAGGAATGAACACAATTTTGGAAAATTGGTTTAAGCTATGCCAAAACTAGAAAGGTGAAATATTAAACACAGATTACCTGGGCGCCTACTCTAAAAGCAGCTTCCACTTGAGCTTTAAGGATGTTGCACTTCATATGGTCAGGTACAGAGGAAGGTGACACAGGGGCATGAAGAGTCTTTTCAGACACTTTCTTGTCTTCAACCTAGATTTAATACAAAAGACAAGCACAGTGACATATTTTAGAAAAATAAGTCAGCAAAATGGTCAAAGGTCAACTTTTTACTTGTTTCAACAATACTGGATAAAATCTCCAAGTTCATACTCTCACAGATAAATTTTACAATAAAAAATTTTCAAAATAATTAATGACTTGATACTCTTTTTAAGACAAAATAAGCCTCAGGGAAGCCTGAGTAATAAAAGCAAGAAACTGATGTGGAGTGACGATACATGGAAAAATCCCAGCCAGGCCCTGGAGTGGTTGCCCAAACCTGTGATCACACTGAGGAAGAAAAACACTGTCTTGAAATATCCCACAGCAGGCAAAAGAAGGAAAAGTTCACAATGCTCAACTGTAGTGAACACTGGTTTCTTACATCACCCTAAGAATGTAAAGGGGCTTTGCAAATTTAACCAGAGGGATTTGAAGGGATCTCCACATAACTGCAAGCGAAGCAAAATCTCCTTCATCAGAAAGAAAAATCCAAGGATTTTAAACATTGCTGCTGTTGTTTGCACTTAATGTCAACCCCTTACCTATGCAGTGATCTGGATCAGAAATCTAAAGCCTCAGGACAGCTAGTTTAGTGACCTGTTCAAACATGACCTAAAGGTTCTGTGCCTTGAACAAACTACATCCAGTAGAAATTCCAGCATGAATAAGCTTCCCATGCAGAAAAGAAAAAACAAAAAGGACAACGTCAATACTGATGTATAAACAAACAGGGTATGAACGAGACCAGGATTGTAAAAACGAACTCTTAAACAACCAATCTGTAATATCTTACATATTTTTAAAGAAGAATTGGGCAATGGCATAACAGCCATGGAAAACTTTCCTGTGTTTCCTGAAAATGAGACTTGAATTACAACTGCATAACAGCTTAGACTATGCATTCATTTTCCACTCTCATTGCTGCAAAGAGTGAGTGGTCGTATACACCTGGACACAACAGATGTGTCATGCTGTCATTCAAATTTCAGCCACAACAGGTACAAGGCATCAGCAGACCCGGTCCAGCACATCCTTGAGGTCACCTCTGACAAAGTAGTTCACAATGGAACTGGTTATTTTTTAGCCACTGAAATTACCATAGGATTAGCCCTTTAAATTCAAAACCTGCCTCCTTTATCCTTCCTTCTGCCCTCGCCCATGGCATCCCACTGGCTGACTGTAACTACAGTCTTACTGACTCTTCTCTCAGGTCCACAAACAATCACAGACAAAAGGGAACATCAAGATTCAGGGGACACTTCCTGCCAGTGGAACAAACCACAAATGCAACTATCTTGCCTGA